TCCACTTTTCACTGGGTGCCTTTAGATGTCTGATCTTAGGCTCCCCAGTGTCCACATGAAGATAAGCTCCAAGATCAGAAGATGTGGTTCCAAAGGAAGAAATGCTGCCCCTCCTGTACTGCAAGGGACACACGCAGTGTTCTGCTGCAGCACGAGCTGCTGTCTGATGCTTCAGTGAGTGCACCTTGCCCTCTGGGTCCTGTTCTTGTAGGTTAGTAGGGGAGTTCCTTCCTGATTACAGAATATAGGTGATTTGCATTTTTTTTTTTAGCTGCATGTAAGAGCTGGGTCATCCACTGATCTGATTCTTTTAGAACTTCAGCCACTAGCTTGTGTAATTGCAAGGCAGTAAGTGGAAGTATTGGTGGAAGCTCACGTTAATTGTCTTTCCAAGCACTGCCAGAGTCCATGAGATTTCATCTCAGAGGACAGGAGAAGCATGAACTGCTGTTTCACATGTGCTTGATTTGTTGATTAATGTCAGCTGTCTGTTGTGTACATTTCAGGTCATCTGAGAAGCTGAAGGCATCAGCGAGGAAAACATGATAGGCTTTGTGAAAATACAATTTTCTCAACAGTCTCAAACTGCTGATATTCTGAAGCAATCTTGGCTGCTACTTTAGTATGGTAGAGTCCCTGTCAGAGTACCTTTGACTGTCCCCAGGTTCTTTAATGTATAATTTCATTCTAGGCCTCAGTTTCTCTTTTTAAAATTGAAAATAATCTTGCTGCATTTGTAGAGCATTCAAAGATGTGAGCATTAAAACCATTACAATAAGCTATTTGGATCAACTGCTTTGAAACCAGACTGATTTTTTTTCTCTGTGTACAAGAGTTGCATCAGGTATAATGCACTTGCCTTTTAGTGACTTCTGAAGTAGGCTGCCATTTTCTAAATATGAACAAAATGCAGCTCACAAGGTAAGCTCTGAGAGATAGATGACTCCCAGATGCATGACACCTAATTTTTTATGTGTAACTCTTAAGGAGAAAGAGAACTGGATGTTCTCACCATCAACTCCACTAGAGAAGGAGGAGGGCTCTAATGGAGCACGCCCTGTACGCAGCAATTTGCTCCAGCTGCTCCATATCCTGTCTCTGTTCTTCTTCCTTCCCATCTCTGTGGGTTTAAGGCAGTTGGAGTATTGCTGCTTCTGTCATGGGGTTTGCCATTTGTGATGAGTAGGCTGTGCAGTTTGGCAAGCAGGCAGTGAATTGCTTGCTATTGGCTTTATCTCTCCGTCTAGTTTGTGGTTGGAGACCTGCATGTTGTTTGTGGGTTTCTTGCGTGCGTCACTGAACCCAGAAGTTTTATTATATTCTCAGAAAAGGGTTTTGCAACAGCTCAGCTATTAAAGCCTAACTGTTCTCGAGTTAAAAGTTTGGGCAGGAAATAACAAAATGAAATCCATCCTAGGGAAGAAGCGTGGTGCATGTAGGGTGGGAAAAGAATGCAAATATACTATTTATAGGAAGAGGGGAAATCAGTAAATGTGAAGGAGTTATCATGGGAAAACCAGACTTGGCAAACTGAGATACTCAGACTGTTTCTTCATTTTAGAGGATTACATTTCTGCTAAATCCAGTGATGAAGAAAAGTTTTGTTGAAATCTGTACCTCTCCGTGGTGTCCTTTTAGGAGGTTATGCTCTGGGTGAACCTTCTCAGATAAAAATATTTGAATCCACACTCTTTAAGCAGCGTGAAAGTAACTGAAGGCTGTGCCTGCTGCAGGGAGTTTGTGCAGGCAGAGCTGTGTGCAGGGCAGAAGAGAATGGATAACTTTGCTCACAGTCACACAGCAGGTGCCGGTGGCTCAGCTCCCTGCAGTCAAGGTCCATTTTTGATGCGATGGTTCTGGTGTTGTCAGTGCAACTGTGCAACTGACATGGGTGAGAAAAGCGTTTGCGTGGGATGTGAGAAAAGTGACTGTGCTTCAGCAGTATCCTGGTCTAAAGCAGGATGCAGTTCTCATGATATTTGCACTGTAATAAGCTCATGTGGGGCCATATATATATATATTTGGAAAATGTCTTTGACTTAACTTTTTTTTTCCCCCTAAATAGATGTTAAGTTCATTCTGCCTTCCACTGTGGTTTTTGGAACAGATTCCCCCACCCCTTCCTACCACAGTCAGTGCTTGCAGTTCCCTGCTTTATAGTGGGTCATGCGCTACTTTGAAGGGATCTGCATATCATTAGTGCTGCATCCAACTAAATGTGGCACTCGGGCTTTAGAGACTATGCTGATACCTCATCCTTCTTCCAGGAAAATAGATCTTGCCTGAAGGGAGGTGCTGCACTGAAATAACATTACAGACAGAGGAGCCAAGCTGCTACTTTTACTGGCTGGCATGTCATGGCTGCCTGTACCAGTTTTGAAATCACTTCGCCAACCTTTCCCTAGGCCCTCGGCAACCTTGAGGAATACCCGGGAGTGGCAAAGGGGTGAGGTGACCTGGGGAAAGAAGCAGTAACATAAGGCAGCACCCTGGGAATTCTGCTTGCTGTGGCTTACTGGCTGTGGCTGACTAGTTTGCCTTTGGCTGGATTTTGTGGTTGCTGTTTGTGTATCAAAGTGCACGCAGTCACTGAACCTTACTTGGAATGGCCTCCAGTAAAGAGAATGCTTGGGTGATTTCTGTCATCCCTCCGTTCTCCATGACATGTCAGTTGCACAGCCTGGAAGCTGTGCTGTTTTTGATTTATGTAGGATGACTTTTGGCATACTGGGGGCTATTGAGTAGTCCTCAAACTTCTTGCAAGTTCTTCTTTCTGACCCTCATTAACAGACCTCCCTTCCCTTTCCTTTCAAACCATTTATTCATTCCTATCGCCTCCATTCCTGCTGTGTGCTTTGTTACCCGGACTTCTAGTTCCCATCCCTTCTGTCAGGGTTTTGATTGTTCTGTTCCTATCCTTACCCACAGCTAATTCCCTGCTTTCTAATCTCTTCTGCCTAATGTTCTTTGGGGAAATAAGGATGCAAACATGCAGTGTTTGGAGGCAGTAAGAGCAGAACCAAGCATCCTGAGTGGAATTGAACCCAAATCCGGTCTCGTTAACAAAGGAGTTTTAGGGAAGATGGGCAAAAATCCTAGGTAGGATCCATGGCAACATTCAATCTAAATTGTGGAAAAATTGCTTTGAGTGTACTATTTCCAGCTCCTTCCCCCAACAGAGGGAATTACCTCTACTCCAGATATGCACAGACTTATTTTAATTATTAGGAAGATTTTCAGTCACACCATATCCAGTGCGGGCCAGCTGGCTGGAGCGTGTCAGACTGTCTATAACATAAAGCCAAGGCACGAGGTGGGGAAAAGTACACTGAGTAGCAGAAAAAAACCAAGCAGCTAGCATGAAAATACTCTGTACAGCATCTTCAGGATCATTATAGACCTGGCTGCAAATGGGGGACCTTAATGGATAGGTGAAAACACTTGACAGTGAGAAAGCAGAACATCGTGACTAAGCCAGCCAAGACATCTTGTGTGCCCTGTGTGCACTAGGTTCACTCTGGAGGAACAGAGCATGCGTGCTGCAGAGACATCTTGATTTAGAGTTGCATACAGATGAAGGTAGAACTGTGCAGGAGGGCTCAGCTGACAGCCAGTCTTTGAGAATGAGTTCAAGCACACCAAGCTGCAGCAGCGTTCAGAATCGCAGTCACAGCAGCACAAGGCACTACGCTGAAGGAGCGAGAGCTCTCTTGTCCCCCGCTGGCATGGGGACAGCAGCACGGGCCTGTGAGCCCACCATCAGCTCAGTGCTGATAGAGAATAAAAATACTTTGAGCGGAAGCTCAAGAGGAGAGAGATTTTAGTGGACAAAGAATTTGTGTTTGTTTTTTCATTTATAGTCTAATCTTGTCCCAAATGCTACAGTTTATTGACTAAGGACACGTTTTTGTTTATAAATCATGGATCAGCTAACTTGCTTTGAGGCACTGTTTTGTTAGGAAGGTTTTGAAGCTTAAGTGTCCCCCGTAGGAATGTGTGAGACAGTGAAAAACCTTTTGAGAATATTTTGGTTTTGATAAGCAAACATAAAGTACAAATTATTATATTCCTTCTTGTAGTTTTTATATTCTGTGCTTGATGTCAGTTTCTGTGTTGTGCATGAAGCATGAGATGGGCAACCAAAGTTTTGGAATAAATTTTACATTTTCATTTTTTTAAAGAAGATACTGTTTTTAATGCTGATTTTGTGGTAGAAATACCCATCGGATAACGGGCTTTGGAATCTCTGGGTACACTGCTTATTCCTGCTCAGGCTTTTCAGTCCAAATGAAGGCCAGATGAAAGAGAGTGTAGCAAACATATGGGAGCAGTGGGTCAGGGAATCCGGCACGTTACACTAGCAGTGCCCACAGCATCCAGAATGAGGTTGCATCTATCTGTGCAGTGCCGTTAATCTGAATGTAGTTAATTGTTTCAGATGGCTGGGATGCCCTTTCATGTTTTGTCAGGATGCCCAGCTGCTGCCCAGGACTTCTGTTGATACGGATTTGGCGTTGTGTCCTGCAGGAACGGGCCCTACAGGGTCCTACTGATACAAGCTGTAACAATATTATTAAGCTTGCTAGTGTTTCTTGATGGATACCCCTGGCCTGCAGTTCGTTCAGGTACCAGAAAGAGCTGTGTTGCTGAACCCAGGAGATAAGGAAGCTCTGCTGAGCCTCTGTACCAAGGATACAGGAGGTCCTGCTTGAAATCAGTCACTGAATGTGCAATATGCTTTTGGGAAACTTCTGCATATGTAACATAACTCTGAGAAACTTCTGCACTACCTTCTCCTGAAATACTGAAGAGGAAAGACGCTCTCTGTGAGGTAAATGCTTCCATGTATGAGCTTCTCTGAGCGCCTGTAAGAACGTGTCATCATTATATCACAGAAGAGCCCACAGACGAATATCTCCTTTGCCTTGGTACTGTGCAAGCCTGTGAAGATGACAGCTTTTCCCAAGGAACTTAATGGTTTGCTTTCTGGATTCCAACAGGTGAAACTGATTGACTACATCCACCGACAGCGGCAGTGCAAGCTGAGTGTGCCCCTGAATGACAGGACAGCAGAGCTCAACAGCTACCCGAGATTCAATGACTGGTTAGACATTGTCAATGTGAGGAAAGAAGTTGTCCAGGTAAGGAGAAGGCAGCCATCAGCACAGAACCTTCCTGCCCCCTCATACGTGACTTTCCCAGCTCCTGCTGGGTTTGAGTTAAGTTTTCTGGGCAGGTGTGAAGCTGTGGTCTGGATTTTGACAGAGTGGGAGTCTTTACTCAGAAACAAATAATCGTGTTGGTTTTATTTCACACAAAAGCCTCCTCCTGTGAGCGAAGTCTGGTTCAAACTGATACCAAAGAGCATTGCGTCAGTGCGAAAGAATGAAATGCATAACTGCTCTGGTGTTCTGTGTGGTGGCCAGCATCAGCTGTTCATGCTCACAGACCGTGAACATTTCTGATCTTTACAGATTCTTTATCATTTCATTCTTAAAATGCAAACCACTGGAGACCTTTTCACTGCTCAGAATAATCTGATATTCTTGCTGGAATCAGCAATGATGAGACAAGCCAACGCCCCCAGCTCCTGTCTGGACACATTTTTTTTAAGAGTCTGAAATCCTGCCTCTGTTTAGGTGATAAGTAGAACCTCAGGGTTCAGATTGTTTCATTGGGTTTGGCCTGTGCATGACTTATCTATGCTGTTCTGTACTGGGGAAAGTTCTGTTCTGCATAATATTAATGGTAGTATAAGTAGAGCTCATTCTACTGGCAGCTAAACAAAACAGAAAAGGCTTTTTCCATTCTTTTTTCACATTTTTTGGCTCAGTGTTTGCACTCAATTTCCTTTGATCCTTACACAAGCCATGATTTCTTTGACTTCATCTGGAATCTGCCTGTAAAAAGATTAAATGAAAAATGGAGCAGATTTCTATGAAAGTTATTCCAGATTGATCCTGACATAACTGAACAGGTTCTGGTGAAATGAGTTAGAGCTGTACCTTGTATTTACTACTGTTTATTTTAAACGTCATGCTTTAGAATGGACATTGTCCTCCAGCCCAGTGAGGGTTTGGGTGGCACAGCTGAAGGTGCAGCAGAGACAGTGAGAGAACAGAAAAGCAGCCTGTTCCCCTGGCCAAACTGCCAGGCGCACAACTACTGTTGGTTTCTAGGGTTACTGGAATTGCTTGAGCCTAAAAGAATGTCTTTGTAGCTCTTTTTGAAATCCTTTGTGTGGTGCCTGCAGAACTGGGGGAAGGGATGAAGAGGTGGAGTGAACAGGGAGAAGGGAGGTGGATAATTCAAATCTGCCACATCCTGATAATTCAGGGAGACTGTCCTTCTGTACGTGTAGTCTCTAAAGAAGGTGAGCAAATTTGGTTTTGATCCAAGTCAGGAAGAGAACATTTTCCAACTGTTCATTCTTTTTATTTGTGCTTGTTACCTTCTCCCAGTCAGTGACCAAGGTATGGACTGTTTTTCCTTTTGTTCCGTGGGTCAGAAATACAAGGTGTACATTTAATGAAATTGCTCCATGATTCCAAGTCTGTGGCTATTTTTTAAAAGTTCTGCATCCATTTCATGTAGCTGCTGAGAGCTCCTGCAGTGTTTAGATTAGCTGGGCAATACATTTAGTCTTTACAGTGATTTTTGAGCAGAGATGTCTGTCCATGATGGGCATTTCTTTCAGAAATGTTAGAGGTGTCATGGGATCATTCCTGTTGTTGCTCAGATCTCATGCATGTGAACAACATTTCAGATGAGTCACTTGAAAATGGCAGTCATTGACAGGAGGTGCTTGAATAGATGAGCTATTATGAAATACAAAATGGCTGCCCTCAGCATTACGCACAGTGAGGTGACGGGGCAGCAGCCATAGGGCGCCCTTAAAGAGGGAGTTGAGTAGGCCAGACAGTGGAAGTGGGGATGCACTCGGGCCCCATCTCTGGTTCTGCTGCTGCTGTATGTTTACTCTGGGGAATCACCGAACATCTCTAAGAGTCCGACAGCTTGTCTGTAAAACTGAAATACTTATACTAGGTTTCAGCACTACAGGGAGAAAAATAACCTCACAAATGTAATAATCTTACCATGTAAGGCACATAGCTTTCTTTTTTCTAGGACTTTTAGGCTCTGAAACTGACTGAAAAAGTTGCTAACTAACTGTAGAGTTGGAGAACTTTCCTATCTGTGATAATAAAATGTGAAGCTCCAGCTGCAAGAGGGCCCTGCTGTGGCCACCTCTGAGGTCTGGTGGTACAGTGGAGGCGTGCACAGGTGAAGGGCCTGCCTGTGGCCCACTGCTTGCTTCAGGAGAAAGGCCTGAGTTCATGGCTGTTTGTTGTTTTGTTGGGTTTCTTTGCTTTTCTAAATGGTTCTGGTTTCCTTTGCATTTCTAGGATTACTGGAGGGAGCACTGCAAGATTGTGCTAATCTCTGACATAACACCTTTGAAAAACAGCCTAATTGCAAAGCAGTTTTTTAGCTCAGCAGTTAGAGAAACAATGCTCTTTTTCACCCTCTCCCACCTCCTCCTCCTTCCTTTCCCCCGCCCCCAGCTCTCTCCCAAATAAAGCTGCCATGCAGGGAAGTACTGAAGCTCCCTGGCTCTCCTGTCAGAAATAGAGCAGCAGCTCTAAATTAGAATATCTGCTGACTCCTCTAGTCCAGACTGAAGCCTATTTTTGCCCAGTGACTTGTTCTAGACATTGTGAAGCTTGAAAGCTCTTGCTGTTATAATTGCTGTCTTGTTGTCGGGCTCCTTTCTTTCTTTGAAAACCTATATTTAAAACAAGAATAATGACTGCTTGTAAAATCCTTTAGTTCTGGAAGAGATTATAGTAATAACAATGCACTGTTTATGGCATTGGGTGACAGCTCAAGCTCCTGTGAACATGGATAACAGTCAGCCAGTCGTGCTGCGCAGAGTGAAAGGGCTGTTCTGTGTGGACCTAGAAAACTTGGAGGTAGGTGGTAAATACAAGTGTTGACTTTGTGATCCTGTTTGCTGTCTGTGAATACACGATTTGGAGGGGTAAGGAAAGAAGGAACCCCCCGCCCTAACTCATGCTATTTCTGTTTCTTTGTTACTGTGCCTCTAATCAGTTGCCAGACAGATTTGTATCATAGGAAACAGAGGCTACTGTAGAGGAGGTTCTGCTTTGGAGCTGGCCTAATATTGTTCAGTGACCTTTTTTCTTTTTAAATACAGCATTTTTCTAGGAAATGCCTTGTTTTTGGCTAGGAATTTTGGAGGAGGATTAGCTGTGTGTGTGTGTAAGTTACTACAAAAATGGTGCATGTATAGCTAAATATGGTGGACTGAAACTGGGAAAAAGAGAGAGTTGAACTGAGAATGAAAAAATGTAGGTCAAGGAAATCTACAGAAAGTTATGTAGCTGTCTTCAGTGGGTGAAAGTTGCTCTGTAAACGCACCTGGGAACATGCACTGTTCTGGATTGTGATGCTCCTTTTGAGAGCTGGAGTTGAGGAGTGTGGGAAGAAAAGAGGATGTGAGCCTCATTCCCAGGCTGATTGAAGGAGTTTCTTGCAGAGCTATTTACTGGGTTCTGGGCTTGCAGCATGTCTTCCAAATAAAAGTGATTAAGAAATCTTTATTAGCTTACTTTCTTTAGCATAGAAAAAATTCTCTGCCTTTTCTCTTGTTCTTCCCAGAAACATCAATATTCTGTTCCCACATATAACTTGTCATCATCTTAAAAAGTAAATTAGAAACACAGTCACTCTTTATCTCCCAAAGAATGTCTGAACCAGCCCTGCTCACTGTGTAGCAGGGGTTCCAATCAATCAAGTCTGGAAAGCTGTTTTTAGGACACATAACTGTCCTGCACAGGGAGGGGCAGATTGGTTCCTGAGCAAGCCAGGGGCAGCACGTGGCACACAGCAGCAGAGCAGAAAAGGTTTGTGCCTTGAGTAAGAATGAAGTTAAGAGTCTCCTGCTGTCCCTGTGAGAGGCTGTACAGGATGAGCCCCAGTGCAGCACTGACACTGTTAGACCATGGCCCATGGTTTTGCTGGTTGGACTGGGCTCTAGGTTGCAGCGGATCATGCTGATCAGTTGTTTGAGGAAAGGGGTGGCGTTTCTGTGTGTCCGTCTTTACTTTGGTTGGGGGAATACCAGAGGCAGATCTGCCTAACCCTGACAGGTTTCCACAGGTGTGTCCTCTCATCTCCTGTAAGGATGTCTGTCTGGGATTTCCATGGCTCTGACAGCAGAAGCTCTGACTCCATGGCTAGATAGCTGAGATCCCGAATCGAATGTGCATGCGAATGAACTCGGTCATGCAGGCTTTGTGCACCTGTACTTCATCACCATGTGCCAGCTGAGGGCCGCTCCCCAGTGTAAGCAGCCATTCCCTGCTGCTGTCAGGGCTTGCTGGCCCTGCCATGGCAGGCGGGTGCCCTCGCAGCACTGAACCACGTATGGCACGGGGTCAGGGAGGCTCACGCGCCCTCCGGACTGCAGTGAGATGCTGCAGCTGTGCACCTGCCTTCCTACAGAAAAGCTACAGCTCCTGTCTGCAAAGAGCAGAGTGGAACTGCCCTGACAGTCTCAGGTCAGCTTCTCTCTGCACACTGATTGTGTGAGAGCTGAAACGGTGAAGATGTTAAGCGAAGCCATGGCCTGTACATACAATTGAATTCAAGTTAGAAATTCAGTGTGGGAGGCATTCCAGAATGCCCATAAAATCTTCAGAAATCTAAGAACAGAATGGTTTTTCAGTAACTTCTTCATTGGACACCAGTAAACCAGAGCAAAGGAAAAATCATCAGGCACAAAATGTTCTTAAGAGCATCCTGATGTGCTTTGCTTAGAGCTATCAGAGGGAATTTAAGCACCTTACATAATGAGCTTTCTCTTCTAACGTTTGCTGCTTTATGGGAGGATGGCTGGTGAGAGAACGTATTGATTTAAGAGGAGGCACTTGGGGCCTTGTCAACTGTCTGTCTTTACAGGAAGAGCCGTGTCTACTAGGTTGAGGGGCAGGTCAGGCTGATTTGTCCAAGCACCAGCAGCATTAGCTCTGTAGGCTTATCTGCACTAAAGAATCTTTACCAAAAATACCTCATCCACTGTGTTAGATATCAGCATTTTTGCCATGTTTCAAGGATTTAAGTTGGACACCAGACAAGATTAAAGACATTATGCCATCATGAACTCTTCACTCTGGCTAATTCAGAGTAACCTTTGGATGGCTTCTGGGATGCTCTGGTTTGCTTTTCTCCCCTTTAAACATGGATGCTACAAAGTGCACAGTCTCTATGTCTGATAAGCAGGCGAGCTTTATAGAGAAGCTCTCTTCCTGGTTTGGGCTTTTTTTTAACATTGTTTCTGCTGCACAGCTTATGTGAGTAAGGCTGTAAGTTTTGCTGGTGCTGTTCTGAGGTGCTGAAAGATTGAAAGCAGCAGTTTCTAGATGTATTTTTTTTTTCCCCTTCAATAAATGTTGCCTTACTATTAGAGCAGTATGTGAATATCTTGCAGCATGCTGTGTTATTCTGTAGGCAAGGATAGGTGCACCTGGAGAGATGGCACTTAGCTTGGCCCTAATGCAAGCCTACAAGCTGCGTTTATTTTAAAGCCACAGCACTTGTGAAGAATGAGGGGAAGATGAGTCTGTTGAGCCCATATTGCTCACTGTCAGTGCTGAAAAATGGCAGTAACTGCTTCTGAAGTGCTCAGAATTGCACTTGCACCAGTGGGGGGCTGGAGCCCACATCTGCCCAGCTCGACAGCTGAGCCAGAGCATCAGCGTCAGTGGGGCATGTTTTAGGCTCCATCTTGAACTGGTGGCCCTTATCGCTGTCACGCTGGCTGGGAGGATAACACAGGTAAGTTATGTAAGGCTGATCTTAGGGGCTCACGTTGGCCAGTTTTATACTCTGCCACTGTATATGTACAACACGAGTGGTTCTTTAAAGAAAGCCTCTTACTTCCCCTCCCTCCCCCTCTTTGAAGGCTTATTTCTTTTGTTGTGTGGCAGCAGGTTCAGAAAGTCTGAGCTCTCCCAACTCAAGGTCATTGGGGCTGTTTAAATATAATCTCCTTTTCTGTACTTATACTTTCCTACAACTTGTTATTCTGTCTTTCTAAAATTAAACTATTGAGCAAAAGAGTAGATTGGACTTTGTGTGCTGGCCCAGGACGGAGATGAGATTACAGCAGGCTGCACTGTTGGGGTGTGCCTGGGTGCAAGCACACTTAGGATGGAGAGCAAAGCCAGCAGTGAGCCTGGGCTTCCATGCAGTGTCTCTTGTTGCATGCACTGAGGCACAGAGCACAGTGCTGCTGGCGGAAGTGAAACTGGTCAGCCTCGGGGTGACAGAGTTCAAGCCCTCCACCGCAAAGGAAGAGATGCCCCAGCACTTGTAAAAAGGCAGTAGCTTAGAGTGCTTTGTCATTTTTTAAAAGGTTTAAGGTTTTTCTCTAAAACTAGGAAGGTTTGCAAAATGAAGTGAAAGCTAGGGATTCCTCCTTGCAGCAGTTTGATCTTTAAAAAAGAAAAACAACCAACAGCGCCAGCCTCGCAAGAACAGGCAGTTCTGTGGTTTAACTGTGGAGCTGCAGTGGGACAAAGATGTCGGCTTGGTTCTCTGTGTCAGTGATGTTGGTTATGCTCCTGTGGGAATGAGAGAAGGACCTGTGGGGCTCCAAAAGCTGCTGTGCAGGACTCAGCTCTGCTCAGAGACCATTGTGGCAACCCTTCCCCACCATCCCCACCCATCTGTACTGGTGGAGATGAACAATTTTGTGTTTGTGGACTGTCCCTGGGGAGCAGTGAGCATGTGCTCATAGGAGCCAGGGCTGAGCCCAGATGCCATTCCTCATAACTCCTGCAGTAGGGAATTGGAATTCTCCACTGAAGCCTTGTCTATACTAGCACAACCAGGAGAGCTAATTTGGGGTAAGTAAAAATAGTCAGTTCTTCCTCCCTGATACAACTTGAATCACACATTCAGTATATGCTGTTTTTTTTTTTTTTTTTTTTTTTTTTTTCTTGGGGGGGGGGTGTTGTATGAAGGCCTAATAGACCATTTCATACTCCACTGAGGACTAACTGTATGGGTACAAGGCTCATGTCCTGGGTAACTGCTGTACTCTGCCCTCCTTGTAAAAG